AGCCTTTGCCAGACTGAGCATGAAGAGCTCGGCCAGACCGAGTTACTTAAAGCCTCAGCGAAACTGAGCATGCAAAGCCTCAGCCAGACTGAGTGACTTAAAGCCTAAGCCAGACTGAGCATGAAGAGCTCGGCCAGACCGAGTTACTTAAAGCCTCAACCAGACAGAGCATAAAGAGCTCAGCCAGACAGAGTTACTTAAAGCCTCAGTCAGACTGAGCATGCAAAGCCTTAGCCAGACTGAGCATGAAGAGCTCGGCCAGACCGAGTTACTTAAAGCCTCAGCCAGACTAAGCATGAAGAACTCGGCCAGACTGAGTTACTTAAAGCCTCAGCCTCGGACTAGCAAAAAACTTGGGTCACTTTGCAGGCGGTGGTAGGGAGGGGACTGGTAGCGGGGTTGCCGTCATCAATCGAAGGGTGGAGGCCGTGGTGGTTCTACGTGTCCACAAACGGGGGAGTTAGAGTGCGCACAGTGTAAAGAGTGCCCACCAAGTCTATGGAGCCAAGGTTGGGGGCAGCAACAGAGGAGAGGGTGAAGAAAGTGAAGGCATGGAGGGAGAAGGAGGGCGCCAGATGGGACGATCTCGTTCAGCCATCAGCCTTGTTTGCCGCAAGGTTAGGCCCTCAACCTATCGGTGAAGATCTGGCACCGGCAGAGATAGAGACGAGGAGAAAAGCGCAAGAAGCGGAGGATTGGACCATTTTCGCCAAGACCAATCAGTTTAAAGAAGCGCAGTTAGGCCAGCCACCAAAACCGGTCTCTCACATCCCTCATTCTCTTCATTATTCCCTTCGTTGAACTAAAGTTGCACTTGGGAATGGGGGACTACTGACATGGGTAGGCCCATAAAGGTTATAGCCCACCATTTAGGGCTCAATACATATCCCAAATACTAGAGCCCAGCACTACTGAAACCCCATATAGCAATAAGAACCAATGACATCAAGACACATGGCAAGAGAAGAGCAAGCCACATCAGCAGACAAAGATATGCAAAGTTATTGCCACGGCACGTCGCCGTTAATGAGACCCCCTTACAGCATTTATTGTGATAACCCCTCTCCATCGGGACGGCACGCCCTCACCCTGAACAAGGGAAGCTACAGCAAAGACTTTCGGCCAAGGTGATAAGTCGAAAGGGACAACAAAATGATTACCAGAGGATATAAGCAGACGTTGAAGACAAGAAGAAGGTTAAGCTTTTCTATCTCTACAATCCACTTCTCTTTCTAACTTGCTCGTCGGAGGGTTCGCTGGGGGACTCCCCGTTCCCCGTTGAACTCTTGTGCAAGTTCTCTGGTGGGCTTGATCACTCGGATACCGGTTGGATAAGCGTGGATCAGTCCGACCCGTCCAAGTCTCTTGTAGTATCATCAGTTTTTAATACAAATATTCCCTTCACGTTTTAGAAATTGCATCCCTCTCCTTGAAGTTTAAACTTTCATTACAATTTAATCTTTCTATTACTCAATTGTTAAGTCAACTAATGGAACAAGCTAATATAATAAATTAATTTTTTTTAAATGCCTATTTCACTCTTATTTAAAAATTAAAAAAAAGAAAACCTTTTTTTAAAAAAAAAATTAATAGATGGGTAAAAAATATCTGCAAGGAATTACAAAAATTCATTCAATACATATATTATTATACTATTAAACATTTAGGTAATGCTATGGTACACAAGCTTTTATGGTGTTAATTAATCACAAATATTATAATTAGATTATTTTCAATAATATCTAAAAAAAAATAGTTATAACCAAACACTACATAAGGTATAACCAAATGAATCATAATCAAAATAATGTTATAATCAATAGTTATAACTAATGCCATAATAGGTCATAACCAAAAGGCACGACTGGGACATATAAAATTTTTCTAAACGGTAAATTGTTTGTCAATTTTATATATACAAATAAGGGTAAAATAGACATTTTGAAAATTTGATTTATTATATTAGTTTTTCCGTTAGTTGACTAACAGAAGGATTAAATTGTAATAGAAGTTTAAACCTCAAGGAGGAGATGTAATTTCCAGAATATGAGGGGATACTTATATTAAAGACAAATCTTAAAAGGTGTCACTATAATTTATCCTGATAAATAAAAATCCCTTCATTTTTCCATTTTAACTATTAAGAAAAGTTTAAATTGTGCACCTTTAAGGATGGACACATCATAAAAAATGTATGAGTTTTTTGTGGTGAAAGTTATGAATATTTGTAGTATGAGTTTTGTCACTTTGTGATAAAGTTGAAATAGCGAATTTATGGTGTATACTCTAATATTACGAATGATAAAATTACGACACTACGTGATTTTTGTTTTAATATTTAGTGACGAGAAAAATTATGAAATTTTGTGACAAAAAGTTATAACATTTTGTAGTTTATGTTATGAAATTATATTTTTTTTTAAAAAAAAAGGCATATCATATGCATCCTTTTAAAGGTTTCGTTTGGAAAGTAGGTTGGCTTTTTGACATTTTGACTTTTTTGGCTCTTTTAGCCTGGGCTAAAAAGCTTGGTTTGAGAATGACTTTTTGGCTGTTTTGACTTTTTTTGTGAGAGAATAGCGTAATAATTATGGGTTTGATGTGATGTTTTATTGATTGTGGCTAAAATAGCCTATTTTGTCTTTTGCAGCTAAAATAGCCAAAAAAATCCATAAACCATCTTCCCAAATGGAACCAAAGAGTACATTCTAGCTTCTGTCTAAATATTATTACTATTGCAAAGTGTCATAACTGACATGAGTAGGCCCATAAAGGTTATAGCCCATTTAGGGTCCAATACATATCCCAAATACTAGAGTCTAGCACTGTTGAAGCCCCATGTAGTAATAAGAACCAATGACATCAAGACACATGGCAAGAGAAGGGCAAGCCACATCAGCAGACAAAGATCTGCAAAGTTATTGCCACGGCACATCGCCATTAATGAGGCCTCCTTACAGCATTTATTGCGATAACTCCTCTCTGACGGGACGGGACGGCAAGCCCTCACCCTGAACAAGGGAAGCTACAGCATAGACTTTCGGTCAATGTGACAGGTCGGAAGGGACAACGAAATGATTACCAGAGAATATAAGCAGACGTTGAAGACAAGAAGAATGTTAAGCTTTTCTATCTCTAATCTATCTCTACAATCTACTTCTCTTTCTAACTTGCTCGTCGGAGAGTTCACTCGGGGACTCCCCGTTCCCCGTTGAACTCTTGTGCAGGTTCTCTGGTGGGCTTGATCACTCGGATACCGGTTGGAGAACCGTGGATCAGTCCAACCCGTCCAAGTCTCTTGTAGTATCATCAATAACATTTTAATTTGTTACAAAAATTTATGTAGTTAAACAAAACAATACATAAAAAGGTCCAACCAACAACGACGTAATGGATGTTTGTCATATAATGGCAAAAAAGTTAAAATTTTAATTCAAATTTTATATATTCTTTCTTCTATACAGTTGTATATATCTTTCGTATTTCAATATAAATTTTACATACATAGCAATATTTCATTAGGTAGTGTAGTTGTCAACAGTGTCTTTTTGAAATTAAATGAAATTAATTTTAAAAATTATTAATTTCAACTCAATCTCATTTTTACAATTTAAAAGTCTGATTTTTTTTAAAAATTTTCATTATTAGATTGATTTCAAAATAATAAACAAAAAGATTGGGTTACCTCAAATAAGAAGCAAAAATATTTTATTGATCATAATTTGTTTTTTATTTGACTAGATGAAATTACGTGAGAAGTATACATGCCTTTACCTTATAGGCAATGGAATATCGTAGCCTAAATTAGGGGTGTGCGCGGTGCGGTTTGAGAGAAAAATAGAAACCGTATGGCGGGTGGCGGATTGATAAAAGTGTCACTAGAATTTGTCATTTTCCTTATCAAAAACCGGCGGTTTAGTTGGCAAATAATGGCGGATTTGCCTTGGCGGTTCGGGCGGATTGGCGGTTTATAAAAAATATAATTCAAATTACAAAACATAAATCAAAGAGTAAAAAAAAGTCGAGAGATATCATGATGTTAAGCATCTTGCGAAGGTTTCTTCTGATGCAGCAAGTGTAGCAACAACATGATAATATCAACGACTATGCCATCAGTTCATTACAAGCATCTGTGGAAGCTACAATAATTAAATACAATACATAAAATTCCCCTCGAGCAGTAATGTAATACTATATTCTAAGATATAGAACAACAAGCAAACTTAAGTAAAAAAGAATTTTTAGAATCCTATAAAACATGATTTAATAGCGGTGCGGGTCGGTGCGGTTTGGAAAAAAAATAGAAACCGGCGGATTGATGAAAGTGTCACTAGAATTTGCCATTTTTCTTACTAAAAATCGGCGGTTCAATTGACAAATAATAACGAATTTGCCTTGGCGGTGCGGTACGGTGCGATTTTGGCGATTTCGGCGGTATTATGCACACCCCTAGCCTAAATAGCAACCCTTAAACAACCGACGTGGACAAATGTGTCACTTCTCGTTTAATGGGACCTCTGCATTCATTAAAATAAAATTAGGATTACTTGACCCACAAGTTATCCTTTTGAGATTTATGCATCAATCACCCATACTCTTTTTTTTTGAAAAATTTATGCATCAATCACCCATACTCTTTTTTTTGAAAAAATAACAGAAAAATAGAACAAATAATTTTAAAAAGGAGAAATTAAAAAATAATTACACAGGATCCCTAATTGTAATGATGAAAAATGTCCCACCCTCCAGAGATCCAAAATTTGTGTCAACAAGTTTTCAATTTAGAACATCAAACCCAAAAGGTAAGAATGGTTCAATGGGTTTGAGAAGTGGTTTGTCTTTCTCTTTTGGAAAACTGGTAAAAAACCAATTTTGAGTCATATCACCTCTCACATAACTTACTTACAAAAGACAAAATAAGCTAAAAAAGCCAAAAAGCTAACTTTTTACCAATTTCCCAAAACAATCAAGTAACCAAATTTAGGGCAACAATCCTCACATTCATGCCAATTTGAATTTATTTAAACAAGTCAAAAACCAGAAGATATGAAGTTGATCCTGGCACTGCTGTGATGACAAAAGAGACCATGATAGAATACACAAACGTTTTCACATATTTCTGCACAAAAAGGGTGAAAATTTTCTCTAATATGAGTGTATATGTCTATGACTACAGGAAATGTGGCTATGGCACCTACCTGAAATATAAAACATCATGTAAAAGAATTGGGCTATGAAACACCCCTCGAGACACAGAAGAAAGAAAAAGAAAAAAAAAAAGAGTGAAAAAACGAAGCATGTACAAGGACATTCACGGGCCGAGAATATGTCAAAGTTAACCCTTTCCAATATGCGCAAGGTATGCCTTGTCTGCATCAGCAAGGCGATCTTGGAACTGAGCCCACTCGCTTCTGCACCTATCTCTCACCTACAATTGAATTAACAATGAATTAAACTTAATTAAGAGAATCTGATTAATTAATTTGTGCCACTCAAAAAAATATTCCTTTAATTCAAAACAAAAGAATTAACACGGACTAAAAGAAAAAGACTCTGAACAGCTGCAAATAATCAGTGTGCATATACATACCCCCTGCCATGGAGGTTTACCATTCTCGGTCTGGCCCTGAATTTCACAGAAACATTCAGATTCATGAGTTCCAATGAACAATAATATGAAGATATTGAAAATATATGAAAATGAAACAAATGTACTGCAATAGAATTACTTGGGGATGCTCAAAACAAAACAATGACAGAAGACAAAAAAAAATGTCGCCACAGGGAAAGTATCTTCAAATAATGCAAAGTTTTACAGCTATAAGCCTATATGCAGACCTTTTTCTCATGGGTTAAAATACAAACAAAAAGAAAATTATTTAGAAAATTCACACAAAACAGAGCCACGTTGCATATCAACTTCATGACCCTGTACACTGCCCGTCTGCATAGACCTAAAACCACTAACCGCCGCCCCCCCCCCCCCCCCGGTATGACAATGCAAAAAAAAAAAAATGGAGGAAAAATCCCTCCAATTTCAAGTAAAACTAAATTGATTAAGAAGAAGCTTTAACTTCTAAGTTGTATAGGAAAAAAAATTATTTTGTTTTTTGCTTCCTAAAATACTCTTCAGCTTTGGAAACACCCATCAATCTTGCCTATGAACACCAGTACATGAGCCTTGACTGATTAATTATCATCATATCACAGCTTTCCACGTCAGAAGTAGCCGACTAAAGTTGAACATAAGGTCCAAGATCAAAACATGTACAACTAAACTTCATTCTTTGATTTATTTACATCTCCATGCTCATTCTGTTCAATAGAGTAATTTCTCCTCCATAGAGACTGACAGGCAACATAAAACAACTTTGGGTACTTTTCCTTCCCCCATCAGCATGTGTATTATTTTGTTCCCCACCATAGTTGCCAAAACAGTAAAGTACAAGTGGTAAATGGTCTAAGCAGAAGAATGAATGGAATTGAAAAGCATACTAGCAAATGAATTTCATTAGAAACTTACACAAAATTAAGAGGAACTTTATATATATATATATAGTATCAGAAAACAAAACTGTGATCTTCAGTCGGAACTAGGGAAACTTGAAAGAGACGTTCATGAATCATTGTAAAAGAGAAAATGAGAATTTTGTTATGTGACTTATAAAACCTCCATCTTTGATGAGTTTCAAAGATGGCATATTCCAAGTATGTAAAGTAAAAGAAATCACCTAGGTGCTTTTGCCTAAGAGTCTCCAAAACATGTAAATAGCATCCCACCTCAACTTCTTAGGAGCATGCTTTTGAGTCATAAAGGCTAAAGAAACCTCAATGCAATGTTTTTTACGTTCGACAATACCATTCCTTGGAGAGGTACAGCCATGAGAAGAATTATGTCATGTGAATCACATTAAGCTTGCAAGAACCAAGTCATTCTAGAATAATCATCCACAAAGGAACACTAAGCAAAAGACCTAGAAAATTTGTCTTAAACAATCCAAGCTAATGATGACTCACCTGGTTCCCGAGGGAGGGAATTACTTGATGGACAATCCACTGTGAATCAACCACACCAATTTTCTCATGTGCAGGCTACAGGCAAAACAAAAGTAATTATAGATTAGTGCTGAACAGAAGCTGCTGTCCTAATCTACAAGACCATGTTGTATAAAATGCACACATTGTTATCAGTCAAAAGCATCCATAGAAGCCCCAAAACAAATGTGCTATTCTCACTAAGATAACATTTACCACCTAAAAAACTGCATTGTGTTTTTTTTTTTTTTTTTTTGCTAAACCAAAATTACAAGACAAACAATTATTACTCACTAGGTTCATTCTTTAGTTAATTTTTGCCCAACAGTTTGCATGACACAATCTGTCACACATCCACCCAACCAAAAAAAATTGAAAATAAAAATAACTGCACATATGCATTTTCTGAAGAATGTAACTGAAACATTTGTATATATCAGCAATCATGGGAGAAACTACCTCTACACATCTTCTAAGGGCAAAATCCAATCCCCATCCATGCACCAAATCATTCTACAATGATATTATACAAACAGGTTAACATAGATACATAATTCAGAATGGAAATATATATATATATATATTTAAGCAGCAGAAAACTTGAAAGCACTCAGAATGGGAAAATTCAATAGATAAGAAAACATAGATGCATAATTCACATATGCAGTCCCAAAAATTAAAACATTACCTGAATCATATGCCAAACACAGCGCCATGCTTCCCGAGAAAACACGGGGGCCATGATTTCCACAAATCTGAACAAATGCAAAGAAGTTCAAAAGTTCAAAAATATAAATAAATAAATAAAATTAAAAAATTAGCTAAAGGTCTGGATGAGGTACATTTGTATTGCAGATGAATTAAGGTTTGTATCAAGAAATTCACACATTAGATGAATCATCTAGCATGTTAATTGATAATTCTTCAGAGTTCATATCTGTATAACTTTAAATATTTTGCAAATTTTGCTGCCCAAAGTCTCCAATTTCTTGCAGTTACCTATGAAGCATGGTACTTCGACAAACATGTCATACCCATACCGGATATTGGTACTTCATATGGAAGTTCTATACACATACCAGGTACACGAAATATGTGCTCAAATTTTATTTTCTTAATTTTTGGCATACCAAGATGTATCTAGTATACCCAAATCATACCGTACCTCAGTCGAAACAGCATTTTCTTCTACTACAAAAGTCAAATTAATTTCATTGGACTTCTTTTTTTTATTTTATGCTTAGCATGATTTTAAAATTAAGCTATCATTTGTAAGTTATTTAATATAATGATATTTAATTTTTGTTTATACCTTTATTTTTGGCATTAAATGTGAATTGTAAATTGAATATTAACAAATTAAACATTTAACTAATTTTTGCATTACTCCACATTAAAAATAAATATTTTTTTTACAAACGTACCAAGCCGTACCTGTACTATATTCTTTTAGATTTTACTGTATCGACGTACTAGTGCTCATACCCGTACCTATGCTTCATAGCAAATAAACAAATCCAATGTTCCCAATGTAGTACACCACATGCTCTAATGTGGGGTATGATAGGGTTGGCCTTACATTGAACAAATTGTTCGTATGTTGAGATATTTCTAAATAAAGGAGTACTTTTCTTTCAATAAATAGATCATTCAGAAATAAAATTCTTAAAAAATCCTCAAACCTTCACTTAGAAACCTCTATATATTCAGTTATAATTTAATGTTTGTTTATTTAACATTTCCTTTCATAAAGAAGAAAACCAAAAGAGGAAATAGGAAAATATGAAGTCAATCTTCCAGAAGTGTTCCATGTGTACAGCCTGACCTATGGTAAATTTGACTGTTAGTAACACCAAAAGATACTCAAGGTTAAATAGAATATACTGCATTGCAACAGAATATTTAATTTTGACCCATTTGACAGTCAGATTTAAATGCATGACCACAAAATTAGTTTGAGATTAACCTTATCCTACTTCATGATTTTCCGAAGTAAGAGAATCATAGTATAATTGCAGGCTCTTAGTTGGTGAACATGGCAAGCTGAATAAACAGATTTGATTAGAGATTTTTCTAGGGAGAGAAAAAACAAATATTAACTTATTCAACAAATTGAGGCAGATACATGTTTGAGTGCACGTGTGTGTGTGTGTGCATGAGAGAGAGAGAGAGAGAGAGAGAGAGCTTACGCAGCACATGGAGGTAAATGTGGGTCACTGCACCAGCCTGGTTTCTCTTCTGCATTCCTGTCCACCAATCCAGACATTTAGAACTGAACACACTGTACAGATTGAGTGGCTTTGAAACAGGAGTTACAGCAATTGCCTATATAACAATATCACCTGTTACATGGACTTGAGAGCAAGTTCTACATGTGGGGATGTGTCGTAAGTGTCGAATTTATCAAATTGCCAAGTCAAACGACATCATGGTACAGATAAAATTCAAAATGGTACTTTTATTATGTAGCATAGAGCATTACACATGGACAATTCACTCATTTGGAAGCAACCGGGCCACAAAAATAACATAATAAAGGAATTAATTTACATTTATACTATACAATTAAATTACCAGACATGCTTGGCGGGTGCATGTACAACTAGACATGACAGACAATTATTCCTTGTCCAGTGTCGTGTGACTGGCATACGCATGCATCATGCATTCAAAAGAGTCCATGTAAACATCAAATATGAAGGGGAAGGCCTTACTTGGTTTGAATTTCAGAAATAGCTTTCTGATTTTTTTATTTTTTTTTTGAAAAAATAGAAATTATTTTGACAAAAATAAATACAACAAAGATATTTTTAAAAATTATTCCTAACCTCCAAAAAGATAATATAAAAATGAAATATTTTTTTTATACCAAATTAATTTTTTATTTTTAAAAAAAATAAATTTAAAACAGTTTTTGAAAATCAAACCAAACTGAGGTGAAAATTTTACTTCGTTTTTTGTGTGTTGTGTGGTTGGGGTGGGTAATCTCAGAGTGAAACAGTAGAGCGTACTTGTGAAATTCTCTGTCACCCCTCCTTTTTGTCATCTGCCATGTTAGTCCATTGTTGGGCTCAAGACCCGGTTGTGAAATCTCCAGACCATGTTTCTTAACTAGTTGAATAAACCTGGTAGATTTGCCAAGATGAAAAGAACATGTAAATTCTGGATTTTCAGAAAACATGAATGCGGAAATGGAAAAAGAAAGAAACAAAGCAGAGAAACTTACTTTTCACCATTGAAGTGTTCAACTCCAAGATCTTCATCCCAGATGAAAATATAGTCATAAGCTGCTACAATATCAGGATGCATAAACCGCTTTGCATACCACCTGCATAAGATTAAAAATTTATAGATACAGGAGGCCACAAACTCTCACATCAGCAAGAAGACAATACAACTGGTAGCAAATCTTATGATTCAGTCACTTAATGATTTTTTTTTTATATAATTAACGCAACCACTTAAATGATTAAATCTACAAAAGGATGCAATATTAATAAAAACTCATTTTAGTGTCTTTCTTGCCATAGTCTTTTCCTCAAAGATGCTGTGGTGGAACACCAAAACTACGTGAATGCTAAAGAATCTTACCATTTTGTTTGTTTTCTTACACTGACATGAATTGCCCTCCGTGACCACTCAAATTCATCCCATTCACTTGTCCGGCCATCATAATGAAAAAGCAATATTTGGAAATCCTCCGAAAACTATCAAAAAATAACATAAGATGCAGACCTCAGTATACATGCAAAATAATAAAAAGAAGTAACAGGATGGTCCGTGAGTAACCTTATTAATTGCCGCATTAATATTGTTCCTCTGATCCCAACCAACTGTGAATGTTACCAAATATTTCGGCTTCTTTTTCAAATCCTGAAAATTTCAGAACATTATTCATGAGACAATCAGAGTTACAAGGGGAGCTAACGCAGTCGCAGTAGGAAACATTTTCTTCATGCACTTATTTTATAACAATTTGTATTTTATGATGTGAGGTCCTTTCTGTGCTCACAGTTGTCAACATGCTCAAAATGCATGCAGCAAAACATTTTCCTAGTGAAGAAGGTCAATCACCCTCTTGTCACCAACAATGATAAACCTACCGTTTTAATAATCCAGGCATGGAAAATGAAGAAACCAAACAAAACCAGAAAATTACAGTTTCATACAAACAAGTACCACACAATCTTAAAAAAGGCCTGTGGAACTCATAAACTTTAAACATTTGACAAGAAAATTAAACCATGAGCAATCTATGTTCTAATAGAACTACAAAATCATAAAAGGCCTAGTCAAGCCTGAAGAGTTAAAAAAATAACACATTACAACAAGTATAGATAACTCCAGCGATCTGAAATTGGTAAATAATTGCAAGCTCCAGCACCACAATACAGTTATTTTGTTGAACCACATACCTCACTAGGTTCACCCCATAACCTTCGCAAATAAAAATCAGACTTTGATTCTATGATTCCTGGAGGTAATGACTCTGCACCACGGGGATTTGTTGGAACATATATCTAGGAGGAAAACCAAACAAGAGAAATGTATCAGCGCAAATAAAAATTGAACATAACTCTTGGTTTGCTAAAACACACACTGCAGATAAGTTCTAAAACAATACTACAGATAAACATAATATCAAGCCAAATCATCAAACTAAGAACCACAGACATATCCAAGAAGCTGTTGTGTCCCTGTCAGATACCAACACCACTACCACAGTTGTAGAGACATGTCCAATGCTTCATGGACATGTACACAACTAAGCAATAAATTATAGTGGACACTTTGACTACACATCCTAACACTCCTCAATACAGCCCAAAATGTCCAACATTTCTTTCTTTAAATGGCCAAAATATATAACAATCAAATTGAACTCATCAAACTCCATCTCACATATTATGAAGTCTTAATATAGAGATTTAAAGTATTGATCAAAGTAATACACTGGTACATTGCACAATATGTATAAACCAAACCAACCAAAGTCTTGTATAATTGATGTATATAAAAATAGTATGTGTATATTTCCCTATTTTACCTGGAACGTGAATCGTTCTAGAACATTGAACAGGAACGGGAACGGGAACATAGAATGCCATATGCTCTAAAATGTGGTACGATATGAGTAGACTTGTATAAATTACAATATAAGAATTTAAGCAACTTCTAAAGTATTGTTCTTTTAACTATTACACATCCAACAAAATGTAATTTTTTTTCCCCCGAATTAATCATGTAGCAAAACATTTGTATGAGCATTATGACCCATTTTTTACTTTCTGCCTCATCAAAACTTCACTCCCCTTAGATTTTAGTTCATTTGATGTTTTTTCTCCTAAGGAAACATTTAAGGAAATATACTAGGGAAAAAATTTGGAATTGCTTCAGATCACTAAATTTACTGCTTTGGAACATGTGTTCAAAAACGATATTCGCTAAGGTATTCACATTTTTTGGCAACACTGATATTTCCATATCCTACATTTGAGAATTTGTAGCATCACTGCATTCATCATGTCATATCATTTTTGTGTCCTATATTTTTGTCTATGCTACTTATTAGTTATTAGTTCGTAAAACAATATTACAGTCCCTCTTTGATTTCTCATATACATAGATTACAAATTCAAGCATATAAATCTATGGTTGTAGCTATGCTACTTCACTTATTTCTTTCTTGAAAAATTTTGTTCAAATCTGAAAATGAAAAAAGGAGACTTTATTACATATTAAGAAATCTGCAAATGAAAAGACCAAAAAGAACAAATGAAACCCTCCCATCTCAAAGAAGGGACAACATGTTACATGAGCTAGGAAAAAAATGACAGAACCAGACTTGGATTTCAAAAAATCAAATAATTCAAATGGTACATGGACTTTGGTATGAGTATCAGGTGACAATGTGCATCCAAGCGCATCCAACCTTGATAAGCCTAAATCGTAGTATATTAGGATATGTATCTAAAAGTTGGATAGGGGAATGAGGATGTGTCATGGATATTTATATGTATCACATTGTACAATATTCTTAGATAAGATAATGCAAATTATGTAGAAATGTGCTTGAAATTAAATAAGATTTAGAAAATATATAAATTTTCTATGTCTCATTATGTGAGGAGCAAGAGATTTTTCTTTACTAGCAAATGTGAATTTCTTCTTCTTTTAACATCATAGAAAATTAAAAGATCCAAATGTCTAAATTGAATAGGGTATCCAACATATATCTCACACCTTTACCCATGTCATATGAGGTGGGCATAGGTATTTAGAGAAAAATAAGAGAGTCCATGTAACACCAATTTCAATCTATTAAAGTAAGTTTCCTAGTTGTTTCAATCAAGAAATAACCATTACAAGTCAAACATTCTACTTTTTATTGATAAGAGAACTTAATTAAAGCAGGGAAGCAGCAATCACGAGGGAAACTGTCCAAAATCAGGTTGAAGAACTAAACAAAATCAAAGAAGCAATAATTGCGCAACTTAATGAAAACACGTAATTGTTGACTTTTGGTGAATAGTGTTAACTTTTTAACTTTTTGAGTAACTTTTTGGCTTTTTGGCTTTTTTGGATCTTCCCAAACTTGCCCTAAATCTAAAAATGCATTCATCCCCAAACTTCAGCGCTGTTATCCGGAATTTATGTTTTGAGATTGTAACAGAAATATAATTTAGAGATTCAGCAAATCTATTCATAGATCAATTGACTTTTGGCATCAACTTTTGAGAGTATTTCTAATTCGCGTATTACATTTTGGTTGGCAAATGACTATATCTTACGTAAGAAAACAAAGAAAAACCACTGGATTATAGCTGGGCCTATAGATGGAAGCTGCTTCAGAATTTATGATGCAAGAAATAAAAGAAAATTTTGAAGAACTAAATCACCAAAGAAAAGGTACCTTTGGAGGTGCAGTATCAGTTGAAACACGATTTTCAGGTATATGGTCACTGACAGATCTATGATGATCGTCTTTGAAGGCTACATCAAAAGATGATATAATGCTTGAAGGCAAGTTAATCTGCGAGATTTCACAACAAATCAAATAGATGATAGGTGTCTTGTGCAACACAGGTTTATTCACAGAATTAGCCAACATACCTTAGTAAGAGAAACCGATGGAAATGAAACTCCAATAAAATATCCGAAGACCATTCCCATAATAGTAGTCATTGCAAGTCTGACACTGCCACTTGATTTCTTAGAGACTCCGCTGCAAAGAATGAGAAAACTAATCACCATGGTTTCACATAATAGAAACCGCATTTGGGTACTTCAAAGCCTACTTACACAAATTAACTAGCAACTCATCAAAATGAAGCTTGGGAGAATGTATCTGTACAAACCTGCGGTATGTGGTCCCCATCTTGGAAAAGTCACTCAACTTCAGAGGTCATGCACTAGGCAAAAATCTACAACTTTTGAAGCTTAAAACAGAAAAACCCAGTTTCAAGAAAGCAACTGTGGTTTTCCCAAATACTAATTCCTGTTAAACACATCCATGAAATATTCAATATATAATAAAGTGGTTTTCCCAAATACTAATTCCTGTTAAACACATCCATGAAATATTCAATATATAATAAACAACAACTACAAGAATCTGAAGCAAAGCCGTATATAATCTTAAATCAAGATTTCTGCAATCTTTCTGCCTTGTTCTCTCATTAATTGCCCCCAACTTTACAATGTAAGCAATAAATAACCTAATTAATAAACCCACAAAATAAAACCCTAAAAATAAAAATAAAAATAAAAATAAAAATAAATTTCCTTTCCTTTCCTTTCCTTTTCTGTGTAGGTTACAGCTTTGCAGCTTGTGAGCACGACCCAAAAAAATAAAACCCTAAAAACCCAGCAAAAGCTATTCCCTTTTTTTCTTTTTCTTTTAAAAAATTATAAACCCAGTAAAATTATGCAAGTTTAAACCAAGATTCGCATTGCATTAATACTATTCCACTTTATTAAATTTTTCTATTTACTTAAATACTCTGATCTGCATCGTATAATAACTTCAAAAGATTTGGGTTCTCTTCTCGGGGAAGAAGGGTTCATCAAGACATAGCAGTGACGATTGACACCAAAATACAGTATTTTTACATTCATATTTGTTCAGTATTACAGTGATTTTAAACTGTATAACATTCAATTTAAAAATTTTGCACTAAAGGAACACGAAATTGAGGACATAAAAACTGCAAAATAGAAGCAAATTAATGGCTAATACGGACTAAAATTGTTGCATATGAATCACAATCCCTAAACAAATCGAATTCGATTCTTGAAAAAAATACACAAAGAAATAAGTAAATATGTAATAATCGGTACATTATTGAGAAGCTTACAGATTTTGTCGACACCAAGCGAGAGAGCGAGAGAGAGGCCTTGTTCTCTAGAGATCGGTACCAATATCTGGTTTTTATTACGGCCAAAAACTGAATATTGCGTCCAATTTAAGGTGACGAAAGTACCCTACTCACAATTAATAAACTACCCTTTTCACAATTAATAATGAGTGTGTTTTGTTTTAATTTTTTGAATTTAATTTTTTGTCTTTTGTTTTTTTTTTTAGTAAATATTTTTTATAATTTTTTATATTTTTTGTAATTTTTTAAAATATTTTAAAAAATTAATAAATACACAAAAATATAAAAATATATTGAATTTTCATATTTTTTTATATTTTTGATGTTTAGTGAATTTTTTAAAGATTTTTTTACAAAAATTATACTTTTTAAGTGTATTTATGTCAAGTGTGTCTAAAAATTGAAAAACAAATGTTAAAATATTAAAACAAATTAGTAAAAACAAAAAAAATACAAAAAATAATAAAGTTGAATTTTCTAAAAAGTGTTTTCCAAAAAATGAAAACACACATACTGAATAATAATAATTTGGGTAAATTACATTTTGCCCCTTTATGTTTGGCCGCTTTCTCACTTTGGCTTTTTTAATTTATTTTTTTCTACTTTGGTCTTTCATATTTCAAGTTTTTTTTCAAAATTAGATAGAATAACTGTCCCATAATATCAAAAATATATTATTATATTATAATTTAAATTTATGTTAGTGGTGTGAGCCATATATAATAAAATATTTTTATGTCACGTTACTAATAATGTGTTATTTCTACTTTAGAAGTAAAGTGAGAAAAACTTGAAACATGAAGAGCCAAAGTGAAAAAAATAAACTTGAAGGGCCAAAGTGAAAAGTAGTCAAATATAAAAGGGGCAAAGTGTAATTTACCCTAATAATTTAATAAGAAAATGAAAAAAATACAAACACTTATCATTTTAATTATAATAAAAAAAAACTTTTTGGAGTGTTAAATAAGTTTCATAGATAAAAATAATAATAATAATTTAATAAGAAAATGAAAAAATCACAAATACTTATCGTTTTAATAAAATAAAATAAAAATTCTTTTTGGAGTGTTAAATAAATTTCATAGATATGGAATGGATCACAAAAAATATAGATGACACAATTTAGATGAAATTGTATTTTTTATGATAAATCCACTATGTGATATGTATGATCAAAATTAGGATGTGATTGATTCTTTGATCGATTAATTATTGGTAGTTATGTTGTTTTCAAAAATTCATAAATAGTGTTTGGTATTTTATTTTATTTTTTTGTTTTTATCAAACTAATTTCTAATGTTTTTCTGAAAAAAAAAATCAAAAACAAGTCCAAAAAATTAAAGCAAACAGTGCCACTCTTACATTTTTGTTTTTTTTTTTAATATCTTTATTTTTTAAAATTGCAACAATTTCTACAACTTTAAGAGTCAAGACAAAGGTGCTTTCAAATCTCAATAAAGTTTTTTTTGTTGTGATGAGGAAAAAAATTATATCCTAAATCATTTATTTTCTATTTTGTTAGAGAAAAATTAAAGCAAACAGAGCCACTCATACATTTTTGTTTTTCTTAAATATTTTTATTTTTTAAAATTGCAACAATTTCAACAAATTTAAGAGTCAAGACAATGGTGCTTTCAAATCTCAATAAAGTTTTTTTTGTTGTGATGAGGAAAAAAATTATATCCTAATTCGTTTATGTTCTATTTTGTTAACCAAAACATGAGAATTTCATTTTTTTTAAGTTTTCCTTCTCTGCACTCCATTTTCTCCACCAATCATTAAAGCAGACTATTATTTGGTGGTATTTTCTAACGTTTTTACACTTCTTTTTTGTTTTTACATAATTGTTTTTCAATTTTTCTATTTAAAATAAAAAATAGGGTCACCTATTCTAAACAAACTCAAAAAGTAATTTTTTATTCAAAAGTTGAAAAATAAAATTCACTAAAGACAAAAATAAGCTTACAAAACAACTCAATTTATAAATTGCATCAAAAAATATATATAGGTTGAGTTGCTTTCCCTTACAGATAAATTTACAATATGCACCTTTTAAATGGTGCACATTATAAAAAAATTATGATTTTTTATGATAAATATTATGATTATTTATGATGTGTTATGAAATTTTGTAGTAAAGTTATGAATAGCGAATTCCTGATGTTCATCTTAAAATAAAGGATGATAATGTTATGATATTTTGTGATTTTTGTTATGGCATTTTAAGATTTTGTTATGATATTTTTTAATAAAAAAATTTATAACTTTTGTAGTTAAAAAATTATGATATTTTGTGTTTAAGTTATAAAATTTTATAAAAAAATATGAAAAACATATCATATATACTTTTTTAAGAATGCATATTGTAGCATGTTCGTTCACTTACATTTTTGTGATGGCTTACCTGTTGATGCACAAACATACATATAGCAGTGCCAGCACAACATTGAAATAGTATACTGTTAATACAATTCCTTTGCCAAACTATGAAATATTTTACTGTCAATAGTATATAATTTTGATACCCTAACCACAGGGTGGCACCAAAATTGACATGTCCTCTTTATTCATGTACAACCTGTCTAGAGCGCTAGCCAATCACAATGCACCACACTATTGTTTGCTTTAATAAAGAGGTTCCTTTAAACGAAGTGACAAATATTCCCACCAATAAAATTGTTGTAAAAAGTAATAAGTTTTATATAAATAAAATTACTAATGATATATTATGAAATAATAAAATTTTAAAAATTAAAGTAACATTTATTTTATATTATATGATAGATGTCACATTATTAGGTAAATTTTTTAATTTATATAGCACTAACAAATTTTTAAACATAAATAATATATTATAGCATCAATTTTTATTAATATAAGAAATGAAAACTTGTCAAATATATATATATATATATATAAAGAATTATGCTCTTCTTTTTTTTTTTTTTTGGTTTTCCCGCTAAGTTACACTTCCTTTATGGATTTAATGAACCGAATTTTTCGGAATACTTCGACCGTGTTGGGGTCGTCTTTGTGGACGACATATTGATTTATTCAACCTTCGAGGAGGAACAAGAGACTCAATTGCAGGTAGTGTTGGGTTTACTTAGTGAGCGCCTTTTGTGTGCCAAATTTGAGAAATGCAAGTTTTGGTTAACTGAGATGAAGTTTTTGGGGCATGTAATGTCTAGAGAGGGAGTAACTGTGGACTCCTCAAAGATAGATGCCGTACAAGATTGGGAACAACCTAAGAATGCAGATTTGCACCAAAGTTGGTGGCAACGGAAGAGTACCGTTGCATTGAATTTGAAAAGAAATTGATAAAAAAACTTACATTCAAGCTTGTCGAAAATATGATTCGGGAATATGACCGTCTTGCGGAGACGATGACACACGTAGAAATTTCCATACAAGCCGAGGAGGAGAAGCTTCGGAGTTCAAGGTCTAGGGGCCAAGAGTCTCAAGGAGACTATAGGCAGAACAAGAAGAGCAAGAACACCTATCCATCCCAGTCCCAACCACAGCAGTCTAGATCCACTTTTCCTTTGCC